GCATGTAAGTACTTGAAGATTGACAGTAAATCAATGAACCTTCATCTACTTCCGAGAATAGACTGTTTAGGAATAATTAAGGGAAGTTTACTTTATATTCTTTAAATTATTTTTTTATTATTATTCTCTTAGACATTAAGTTAATCGAAATTAACTAATGTGTGTTTTATATTGTGCAAGAATAGATAGAGATGCACTTTCCTTATTCCGCTGAGTCGGACCTTTCAAATATGGAGACGAGAATCAATAAAGAACATTCTTTGTAAGGCGTGGCTTGTCAGTGAAGACTTGCTTAGTTACCATACACGAGGCAATATAAAGGTATCAGGACGCGTATGAAGACTAATGAGGATTTTCAATTTTGATGTGAGAGCATTTTAAAAGAAGAATACAATTCCTTAAGTTTGTTTTGATTCCATATTTTATTTGAGTGGTGAATCAAGTAAGCAGTTTGATCACGTTGAGTTATTTGTTCTGAATTGTAACAGAGTGTTCGGAGGTTCATTCTGCTTTGTTTGAGGGAGTCGAACTGAAAAGCTACAAGGGACTTGTGGTCGGATAAGTAGTTGTGTAAATCATTACTTTAAGTAGAGTGTAGAGGGAGTCTATATTATAAATCTTTGAATAATGGTTGTGATATCTACATTAATGAAGGAGATCCGAATGGAGAGTCCGACGCTCTCCTTAAGGTTCAGTTTACTTTGAGAAACCTTGCTTCCGCAATTGTGTAAACCTTCTTATGTTTAATGATTCATTAGTTTAAGCGCTATTATGGTTTTCTTCATATACTCGTATACAACTTCATAGCCTTTTTCACTTTTCAATTTTTTTTTTTTTTTTAAGGTGTAATTCCCTTTTGGGAGATTGGAGCTCAAAGACTTGGTTTTTAAGGTTTTGATTTTTTGTCAAGATCGTGACATTCCAGTTGGCACCTACTTATGGATACTAGTAGAGACTTGGGGACCTAGTTTAGGACCCAAGATCACGTAAGTTTTTCTCTACTTGCTTTTTGAATTTTCGTGATTTTTGCTTAAGTAATGTTGCGATTTTTCATAGGTCGAGTTGGAAGGTTAGTTAAAGACTTTAACTTTTGGTTTAATTTGTTAGTCTAAAGTAGTTAGCTAGTTGATCTTATGCATATCAAGGATAAAGTCGAGACTTTGCTAGGAGCTCGGTCATTTAAGAATTAAATGCTCATGTCTGGATAATAGTTATGTTTGTACTTGCATGTTTTTAACTCTTTGTTATTGTTTTGTTCAAGTTTTGGAGACTCGGTGATTGTTAAGTTGAGCTTTTTAGATAATTGTCCTTTTTAATTTAGAGTAAACTCATTCAATCCAACAAACTAGCAATTAGAATATCTAGGATTTTGTTTTCTCTTTTTGTGCTTGTGACTAATTAGTGACACTAGCTCCGAAGAGTCGTCCTTGAGAATGACCCAAGGTTAAAGATTAATCGGTTAAAAAAAAATAAAAAAAATGTGCTTCAACACATTGGTTCCATTGCCAGGAGTGATAGTAGGACACCAAGTTTCAATTATTAGTCGTCATTTGTTTATGTGTTTCTCTTGCTTTTTATGAAATATGTTAATCTTCGTGTATCACTTGCTTTATCTTATTTTTAGTAACTTGGTAGTTAATTATTGCTTGGTTGTTTAACTTGGTTTCTTTTCATTCACTAGTACGTAACCCCGTGCGATGCACGGGCTGTATTTATTTTGGTAAAATTTATAATTAGATTATTAATCAATAAGTTATAATACATACAGTATTTGTTAGGTAATCGTAAAATGTTCGTCAATTAATGAAATTGGCGGGAAATAGTTTCTAAAAGTGGATTATGTTAATCCTTATTATATATTAATAGATTAGTGCATTCGGGAGTTTGGTTTCTTTTCTTTGTGTATGCGAAGGGGAGACGTCGACGAGGCAATCAAGAGGCGCCACCAGCTATCAATCTCTACATGGAACTTAATATCAACTAACCGCAACCCGAGTTGGCGACTATGGAAAAACCAAGAAGAGCTTCTACCATTGCCACCTCCAATTATAAGGTACTTTGCAAGCCACATCATCAGAGACGATACTTCGTTCCTTGTGCATGGGAAAGCAACATGAAACTATGATTTGAAGACGATTCACTTGAACCAATGGCTGAAGTTCTATGGTTTGCCACAAGAAGACATCTTATACTTCATTCCAGAGTTTTATGCTATGATAGAGATAATATAAAACCAAGTTAGAACAACGTATAAATATAACAAGGACAAACCAGACTAAACAAAACTCCACATAAATAGGTAAAATAGGAGGACGCGCCTAGAAGGTGGCCTAGAGCTACACAACTACATCTAGCCAAGGCAACAAACAACTGAAATCCTTGTATAGCACACACTCCAACCGCACACCAAACAAAGAAAACAAGAACAACACAACCACAAAAAAAATAAAAAAAAAAAATACAAAAGATATAAAGAGCAGAATGTTGGAACCCATGAGGATCTCGATATGCACAAATCACGGACAAACATTCAACATAAACCTATGCGCAGCGGATCTAAAGGTTTGATGAAGAAAACTTACTGCTTAAAATTTATGTAGATCTGGCTGGCCCGAACAGTTGACCGCAAATCAAATCTTCTCGGAATCGAACAAACTTGACCAATCCAGAAAGCTGACGTCACGGCGAAGTCAACGGCGTTGACTGATCGGAAATCGGACTTCTCACGCGCTTTCACGCGCGACGACAAGCTTCAGCGACTGCTTCCTTCCGGAGGCGCGTGGCGGCGCGTGCGACAACGATTGGCGGCGATTTCGACGGCGATCTCTTCGTCTCGTCGTCCTGGTCGTCGTGGTATGGTCACTTGCTAGTTTTGGTCTCCGGTTTGGATGTATTATAGATCTGATTGGAATCCCGTATATACCTTAAGATCTTCTACTGTATTCTCAAACAAGTATCTAGATCTTGTATCAGTGGAGCACAAGAAATAGAACTACTTCCTTGGAAGAGAGAGAGAGAGGGGGCGGCGTAATTCCCAAGGATGTGGGATTGTGTTCTTCTCTTCCATGAGCCTAATGCTGCATATATAGAGCTACAGTAGGGACCCT